GAACATCTTTCTACAGCTGATGGTGGAACATCTTTCTACATCTGATGGTGGAACATCTTTCTACAGCTGATGGTGGAACATCTTTCTACATCTGACCAGTTTAACATTTCCTGGGAGTCGGCTTCAAACTAACAGACTAGATGTCACATTGTCTGCGTTTTGTGCCAAAAAGTTGAGCGTAAATTTTGCAAACAGCATTTTGTGTATCGCAGCTCAACGACCGACATGTAGATCATCTAAAAACAGCAGCTAACTCTGCGTTTTATTCCTCAATAGTTCTGGTGCTGCATCACCAGCTGTTAAAGCTGTTTTTGCCTTTCTTGACCATAAAGCTTCTGACTCTGATTCTGCCTTCAGTCTGTTGTTTCGGCTGATTATCACGTCCATCGTTCAGAACTTTTCCAGTTGTCACGATCTTTGGGTTTTTTTTCCCAGCGACTCTCGATAAAACAAATTAGTCCCAACACTGAAGGATTAATGCTAAAAGTTCAAATTAAACACATAAAACATACAAAAACAAAGACATTTAACAAAGTGTTTGTGCTATTTTCTTTTTTCTTTTTGTTAACAGTAAATGTGTATTATTCATTATCAGTCTCAACTCTGAAGGAACCGAATGCTTTGACACCTTGTTCTCATCGTCTCAGTATCAAATAACCAGGTTTAGTTGATTTAATAACCAGCTTTTCAAGGAGATTTAGGGTTCATTTAGGCTGATAAGGCTGCAGGTAGACTGGACTCCTGTTAACTCGCCTCCACATGAAATCCTGATTTGTTATTTCCCTGCTAACAGTTTCTCTGGTTCTCGATCCAAACGTCTGTCAGCCGAACTCCTTTGCCTCCCGAACGCTTCGCCAACCAAAACTACGAGGAGGAAACGTGGAGGAGGTGCAGAAATCAGAGCAGGCGACGACGAAGAGACGGTCGGGAAACGTGGAAAATGAGAAATAAAAAAAAAATAAAAAAACAGCAGCTCGGAGTGGACGAAGCCACCTGCGTCTGAAATTAAGTCCAATTTAAAATCAAATTAAGAATCAAAGCAGCAGAAAGTGTCCTATTTCTGGATGCGGAGCCGCTGAGCTATAAATGTGCCGAATGAGGACATCCGGAAATTAACTGTTCAAAGTCGAGCAGCAGCAGAGCAGCAGAGCAGCCGGCTTCATGTCAACGCCATCACTGCAACGCCTTCACTTCTCTGCTGGAGTTTAAGGCCGGTTTTATTTTAGGAGGCTGAAGCCTGCAGGGCGACGGCAGGACGAACTCCTCTCAGGTTTACTTATCGCTCAGCGGGAGATCCCAGCAATCAGCAATCAGCTTCCATCGGACGCTACGCTTTTATTTCCGTCAACACAATCCCACAAAAACCAACAATCAGCGTTTCCCACCAAGAAGAGCTGAGTCTGTGTGAAGCTCATTCATCTCCTTCCTCTGATCGAGCTCTCTGCAGGTTTAACACTACAAGACCGACTTAATGCAACAGAGAACAAACTTCTACGTGTTTTTCATGATGACACCAGTTCAAGAGCCGGCAGGAACAGCAGTAGTACAGTTTTTAGTGATTTAATTAATAAAATCGATGTGATCTGGACCCAGAAAACTGAAGTGAGGATCAACTGATTAACCCTCTGAACCCCCAAATCCACCAGTACGCATGAAAGGCAGGTTTTTCTTTGAATAAATGCAAAATTTACTCCGTTTTTCAGAGCTACAAACTGCAAAAATAGAAAAAATATCAGATTTTTAAAGACTTTCGAATGGTACATGAACTAATCATGTGTAACAACCAAATAAAAGCTTAAAGGTATGATATATTAAATCACTTTGTCTTGTTTTAAAAAGGTGCAGAAAGTAAACTATTCGCAGTAACCAGATCAAAAACCTGAAAACTCCTCGTACTCCGGTCCTGACTGTCTCGGCTGTGACCAGGCTGAAGTGACAAAAATTCGGACACAGTTTCTCAAAAGAAGATTTCAGAAAGTATTTGATAAGTCAGTCTAACATTTAACCGAACCATCCAAACTGTGGAAATCAGCCGAGCGACTGTGTGTGAAAGAGTGAAAAGATGAAACCCTGAACAGTCAGGACAACAGAGATGAACCAGTGTTTGTGTGTCGGGAGCTCACCTGCTCCAGCGCCAGCTTCTTGTTGGGCTGTCCGGTGATGAACGGCTGCAGCCTGCAACACAAACAGTCACACAAGGTCAACACAACCCAGCGCTACACGTCCAATATTCTGCATTTCATAAGTTCTAACACATTAATAAACAGCCCAGTGTCGTGTGTCTTGGAGTTAAAAGTGTCGCATGTGAAAAATTCAAACACAAAACTTTGATGTTGTCTGTTGCTGAACACAGCTCAGATGGTTTTTAGAAGGGAGTAACATTAATTATTTAATAGACAACATGTGGTTTGCCTCCTTCAGCGTTTAGTATTCACTCCAGCGCAGCGGGACATCTTGTTTTTGTGTATTTAATTTTAGTTTTGTGGTGGCTGCAGTTCCTCAAAGGTCCACTAGAGGCTGTTTCCAAAAACGAGTCGACCTGAGTGTTAAACTGTCCTACTTTACAGCAGAAATAAACAAGTTTACAGCCTGCTACAAAATCTGTTTTAGTCTCTACAGCTAATTTTTTACGTTCTTCACTACTGTATGGAGTTACATTTTAATATAACTTACCTGTTTAAGATAAATTAACGCCTAAAGTTGTGCATAATTACCAAGTTAAACCAGTGATGTGGTGTTAATGAAACAAACTGCAAATTCTTGCTGCTAATATATATGCAGATATCTGTTTATCTTCAGTCAGCTAATGCTAACAGACATCAGTTGGTTAACCCTTTGAACCGCAGATATAAACGCCATTTATTAGAGCTTTAGACTAAAAAAAAACCCCCCCAAAAAAACAAGCAATTCAATGACAATAATTTGATTCTACATATCTTATTTGAAATTTTACCAAGAATCAACAGTTTGCAATCACGTCATGTGGCGACTGCAGTTCCACCAATGTCCACTAGAGGCTGTTTCCAAAAGTCGATGCCCGTAGACCTCAGTGTTAAACTGTCCTACTTTACAGCAGAAATAAACAAGTTTACAGCCTGCTACAAAATCTGTTTTAGTCTCTACAGCTAATTTTTTACGTTCTTCACTACTGAATGGAGTTAAAATTTAATATAATTCACCCGTTTAAGACATATTAAGGCTGAAAGTTGTGCATAATTACCGAGTTAAACCAGCTAGCTAACTCATACATGTCAGGTTTAACCAGCAGCAGCGTCTTTACCGAATAAAGAAAAAGAAAAGATCACAGATAAATGACTAATCCTCTGTTGAACAACGTCACCAGACACATGAACTAAACCTTTATTTTAAAACAGCGGCTGGACTTTACGACCTTGGATTCACACGGACGTAGAGAATGAACGCCGTCGCTCAGCCGTCTGAAATGCCAGCGAGTCTACGGGAGAATTAAGTGTGCAGGGTTTATGAACCTCTCAGAGCCTGAAAGTAAGATATTCATTTCCAGACGTGATTTTTCCAGACATTAGAGGACAATAAAATCTTTCACTCCGAGGTCTGCCGGATTACATTTCGCCGCTCACCTCGGCGGCGAGGACACCGACTGTTTCTGCTCAGCCTCGTCTCTCCTTTACAACACTTTGTCCTTGGTTTTTTTCAGTTTGCTGCTTGAAGACACTGAGCCACATAATCTTAATGAAATCCTTTGGTTCTACTGAATCAACAATAAAGTCTTGAAATAATGGATGTAATCGATTTCTTTACATAAAGGAGATGAAGGTGAGCTGGATGATACTGGACTTTTTTAGACCAAAGGAGTTTGTGATGTTAATGATACTGATGGACAAACTGTGGTTTCTGGTTGCTAATGTATTTACAGATGCCTGTTTATCTTCAGTAAGCTAATGCTAGCAGATATCTGTTGGTTAACCCTCTGACCTGTTGGTACGAAGAAATTGCCAAAACTACACCATTTGGTTGAGATTGATCCCGTTGATCCACTTTCAGCCCGTTTATTCTGTTTTTGTGGTCCAGCTTGTCGTATCTTGTCAATCAGTTATGAAAGCTCAACAAAAATTCATTTTTGTCACCAAGCATTTCATATCAAAAACATCTGTATCTGATATGTCAATCCAAAATTACACAGATACCATTTGAAATATCTGAAATGGTCACACAGAAGGAAACTGATGATTTGAGAACCAGTTTGAGAACCACCATGTTGGTGCCCAGAAAAGCTGTTAACAGAGTTCATCTAGCACAGTTAGAGCTGAACATGTCCAGATTATGAAATACTGGAACATATTCAGCAGTTACAAGAAGCTTTATGTGAGATACAAAGAGTAAATTATACATTTCTTATCATGTATACATCTGTTTATTTTGACCAGTTCACTTATGGGATGATCATCAGAACAGATGTTCCAAAAAACAAACAAACTATGGATTCATCTGATGAAGGATCATCAGACTTTCAGCTTTCCAGTTGTACCTTGAACTAGTCATAACTTAACCAAATCACGACATTTAATGAAAATAACTTAATTCTTACATATCTTCTGTAAAATTTTACCAAAAATAAAAATAAAATAAAAAAACCTTTGAGCAACCAAGACGCCATCAGTCATTTAGCTGCGATCAACAGTTACATGACAAAAACTTCTCAGTTGAACTGCAGGCAGTGTTTCCTCAGGGAGACTGAGAGGAAAATCCAACCCACTGGATCAATAAAATAAATGCAGCATGGATCAGAACCAGAGAACAGAGGAGACAGTTGTTGGAGATACATCCAGCATGATGGAACATCTTTCTACAGCTGATGGTGGAACATCTTTCTACGGATGATGTTAAGAGTTTGTAGAGGCTGAATATCTACAATATGTAGAATCACCTTTTTCCTGCATTCATAAAATAAATGGAGAAATCTTTTTATGATTTATGGTTCAGCCACGGTTGTCCAGTCTCCACAGAGGTGCAGGACTTTATGTTGTGGTGAAAAATGAGTCCACAGTGGAGAAAAATGTGACAGGAGAAAATAAGATGTTTGGAAACTGGCTTAAGAGTTCAGAGGAGTGAACACAAAGTACAGCCGGTGATAACGGGGGAGATTTTGTCTGAAGTATTAGACGAAATAAAAGTTTGACCTCCCAGAAATGAAACGTCAAATATTCACCCAACTCATTACAATTCGTGTGCTATACGTATGAATAATGGAGATCTGAAGCAAGGCGTTGAATTGATAAACTGTGTCACAGATAGAGGCTCGCGTCCAGCATTTCTAATAAAAAACTGGTCTCGATGCTCTGTTGTGAGCAAAAAGGAGAAAAAAAACCCCCACAAAGACTGTTTATCATGACCTCGATATCTTCATACAGCCGCTTACCGGAGCCGGCAGTGGAAGAAGGAAACTGGGGAATCACAGTGGCCTTCAGGGAAAGAGAAAGTAGAAAAAAACAGCATCATTATCTTTAATTATTGTAATATTAATTAGGGATTTTTAACTGATTGGTATCAGCATGAGCCTGATCCTTTGTTCAGCTCACATAGGTGTGGTAAATGTGAACGACTTCCTGTTAGCGCGGCAATATTAATCAATAATTAACTCGCAAGATAAAACACTTGACGTTTGTCCTGTGCTGATTTTTTTCATTCCACAGATACATAATACCTGATGGTATACATGTCACCAGGACATAGGAGTCTAGTCCTGGCTGGAGGTCTTTGTCGTGGTGACTCTTTACTAGCTAAACCCCCACAATGCTTTATGTTTGCCAGTATAAGCTCCCAGCCTCCTCTGGTCATGACAGTAACAAACAGTACGAGGCGCAACCACATACTACGACTAAGCTACAATACTTAAAGTGTGTATTATGCAGGAACATTAAACTGGGTATCGACAGATACTAAGTGAGTTAGATCAGGAACTAAAATAAAACCTAACCAGGACATACCTAGTTCTAACTTTCTGTCAGGTTGTGCTACGTTGGGACACTTTATTTTGTTTGTTTACGTGGACAAGAGTCTGCCGGTTACGAGACTTGAACCAGTTTTAGCCAAATTCCAGATGTTGCGTCCACGTGAAGCACAGAGTTCAGATCTTGTGCCTTTCATCCCATTTCTGGACGGCGTTTTATCTTCCGGGTTTAGTCCCAGTGAGTTTCTGTGAAGACGGCAAAGGTGGTGAAGATTGCCAGACTGTGATTCAGTGGTTTGTCGATCGCTTGGTCTCCGTGGAGTCGGTTCTGCCTTACGAGTTTGATGTGTTCGACTTTTGCAAAGATGCCAAGGAGATGAGGCCGTCTGAGAGCCTTGGACAGGCGCTGATTGGTGTATGAACTGAGTCTTCACCGTTCAAGTTCATCCTTAAACAAGATGTCAAATGTAAGGCACGAAGACCTACAAGAAAGGCAACCTGCAGGACACAGCCAAAAGATGGGAATGCAGCTGAACTATCAACACCACCGGATCTCTGACAACATGCACCAGTTTTAGCCATATTCCAGATGTTGCATTCACGAGGAGCAGAAAGTTCCAGATAACATGTCTTTTATACGGTTTATCCTCTGCTGATACCGCTTTTTTTTTTTTTTTTAATTCAGGGACAGATGACACAAGCTACAAAACTTGACTTTATACACGGCACTGGGATATAAAACACTGTCCTAGTTGATGCAGGCTTGATTTAACAGAAGTCTTTGTCATGGTGCCCCCTAAATAAAATGCTAAAATAAAACTGCAAGGCCATCCTTAGTTTTACCTTCATGTCACGTTACAGGTGCTATGTAGAGACGTAAAGATTCCTAATTTTGTGTGTTTATGTGGACGAGAGCACCCTGGTTATGAGCCTTACCACAGTTTTAATCACATTCTGGAGCACAGAGAAAGATAACATGGCTTTTATACCAGCTCCTGGGTTTTGGTGTTCAAAGGGTTGAACTGGACTACATATGCTCTAAATAATGTTCAATATTTCATCGACTTCGCCTCTTTAACACGTCATTGTTGCTGCTTTCAGAGCGTCTGTATTGGATGTTAAATGACTCGGATTGGACAACAGCACCACTTGCTAATTCTTGCTATCTGCCCAGCGGAGCGCTGTCATTCTGTGAGGCCTCCGCTGCACAAAATGTATATATTCATTACTCTCTTTATTGCAGGAT